CTTTGACCGGCGGAGAAGACCGTCATAAAGGGTTTACAAGAACGACAAAAATCCCGCAGCTCAGCACACTCATTATAAATGGCGGTTGAATTTCGGATTTTTTTAAGGAGCTTCTAAAAGTAACTTTATTGACTTACTATCATTACCTCCAACAAGAGTCCAAAACTTTGACGAGGGAGCGAAATTGACCGATGAACCTTTGAAAATGAGAAAATGTCATACGATAAATCCATGTTAAATCGTTCTTGTATTTTCTTATAACAACGTCCTCGTGTTGATATTTCCGATAAGGATAATCGATTCGTGAAATAAGAAATTAACTCCCAGCTCAATCTTTTATACTCAAATTTGCTTTCGGGGTGATTATGTTTTGTTTATTCTATGATTCTCATGACGTGAATCTCACGGAAACTGGTCTTATTTAGACACATGTGGCTGTAATATAATTATTTTTATTGTTATTGTGGACATGGTTGACACGGCGAAAATAGATAAATGAAAATTGGCGATATGTGCTCTAAGAAGGCTAAATTAGGTGATGTGTCGGATACATAGTTGCAATAATCTAAGAGATCCTAATTGACATGGCTATACTCTTGATTCATGTTAATTAAAATCAAAACATGAGAAATCTAAGGAAAGGGGATTTGATGTGCCGCAAAAGGACCCAAAGATAGGGAGAAGGCCGACAGGTCCATGAGGATAGTCGACACTGAGGACGAAAACGACAACGAATGGGCAAAATTATCAAGTGCACCATGGGCCTAATGCGTGTGATTTGTCAGACTTTATGGCCATGCGAGACTCACATGGTCTAACAGATGATTTACATTGGACCAACTACACCGGGTGCGCCTGATAGCTTCTTCCAAACGGATCCCGAAACTCTGCACGAATGTGGCACGAGCTTTGCTTGGATGTCCCGGCCTCTCCAGATACTCTTCGCCTTAGAGTACATATTGTCTAGATAAAATTGAAATTAACTAGCTAAAGAACAAAGAAAAAAAACTTTTATCGAAGTTTTCTTTTTTGCGGAGGCCGCTATGGGAAAAGAATTGCTACGCTATCTTTTTTCTTTTCCTTTTTTTTTTTTATGTTTCCATATTACATTTTATATTCTTTCCTTTTTTCTCCGGTAAAAGAATTGCCATTTCTTCTTCTTTTACTTTTAGATAAGCATTGCCAATTCTACAAATCAAGTATAATATCCCTTAATTAAAGGAGAGAAAACGAAAACAACTTTGTGATAGCTATTGTCTAATGTTTTTTTCTCATTAACATCTTTGGGTTTGTTTGGAACGATGTCCACTTTTAACTTTTTACAGTTTTTTTATTCAAATTTTACTCCTCGTGCAATTCGAATTTTATTCAACTCAGAACAAAACTTTTAAAACATGCAATGCAATGTAAATTAGCATAAAATTCTTCTTCTAAACTTTTAAAGGAAAGGGCATAATTGTCAGTTCTTTATAATAATTGAATAGCCTTTTGTTTCTTGTGAAACTTACTTACATCCTCAGGCTTTAATTAGATGTAGTCCACTTATGTTTCTATCTCCAACTTGATTTGTATCTGTAATGTTCGAAAGTCTTTTGGCCTGTATAGGTGTGGAGGTGTGATTTTTTGTACATCGAGCTTGAACGCCTTTTGTGATACATCATCTATCAAAAGGGCTGATTATGCCATTTTCTGTTTATGGTAACCTCAAATTGTTACAGATCTTTTTAAACTAGAACAAAAGAAGTGCCTCTCTTTTGCATGCATGATATTCTTCGGTGGTTGCAATTCTCTATTCTGTTTTCCTAGCACCAAGGCTACATTTTCCAGTTCATCTATACATAAGGACTATGTTCTCATTCTCATGTAGTGAATAGTACTCATAAAGGAGCCCCAAAGCATCTGCCTAGAGATGATATATGGGTAAACGGGATTTTCTGTTTCTACCATTAATACTTTGTGCTTCTGTGATACTCTTATTGATTAATAATTGAGTGGAATGATGTGAGAGTCATCCATAGTGATGGCAATGGGGCGGGGCGGTAGTAGGGCTTGCATTCCCCATCCCCTCCTCGCAATAATTGAGGAGGCCTGATATCCGCCCGTGTGGTAGGCCCCATTCCCACCCCCGCAGGACATTCAGGTTTTGCTGTCCTCTTTTGATATCACCCCACATTTATCTTAAACTTAATTCAAACATTTATTTAGATATAACTATCGTACAATTATTCTAATCCTTGAAAAGGTAAAAAAATTGATTGTCAAGTAGTAGTGGGATGACAATTTTTTGGGGCAGGCAATGCGGACATATGCTTGCTGAGTTAAATTGCCGTACCTAGTCACCCAAAGGCCTTTGGTAGTTTGGTGCTTCTTCCTAGGAGGCTGTGAGTCTCCTGTTTTTGTGGGTTTGAAGTGCTCTCGTGTGCCTCCTACTTACAACTCAAAATTCATGAGATGATCCCAAATGTTTGAAGGTTTGAGAGTCTGTGGGAAGTGGTGATCTCATTGCCATCCCTACTAATGGCAATGCAGGTAGAAAGGGGTAATTCCAATGCGTATGGCCGGCCTTATTCCAGAGTTTGTTGGAAGGTTACCTGTTTTGGTTAGCTTGTCAGCTCTGAGTGAAGACAAACTAGTTCAGGTGCATGGTCACCGATGGAAATACTCAAACTGCCCCCGCAATAAATTGATTTCTCCTTTCACTGAAGTTCTTCACTTTTGCCTTTCTTTTACGGGAAAGATTACGGTATCGTTTTCCTTGATGTACATTACGTCTCGAAGCTGAAAAATGCTCTTGGTAAACAGTACAAGAAGATTTTCCGGATGAATAATGTATGCTGATCTATTAGTAGTCTACATGATAATATTTCGTTGAAAACATTCATTCGAGTGAGTGACATGTGGCTCCATCGTTGTGTAGTGTGCCTAGGGACCTTTACTGCTGCGTTTTATGGTCTACAAAATTTGCCAGCTAAGAAACGAGGAGTTCATGATGTTTTTAATGTAGCTGGAGCTGCTTCGGCCACTGCTGCAACCTTTGGTTCGATCTGTAAGGCATTACTTCACATGCTTGAGATATTGTCTATTAACCGTTATGCTGTAGCTTACGAAATCAATGTATCACAATTTTATATTCCGTTAATAACTCACGCTAAACGGAAAAAAGAGTTTCTTTTCTGAACTTTAGTTTGTGTTAGTACCAGGATCACTATAGTGGCGTGCAAGGAATGTCGCTCCCGGTGCAGCTCTTGGAGCTGCAGTTTGCTTTCCTCTTGGTAAGTATGAGATTAACACTGGGTCAGAAAAACTCCAATAAAAGCTTGCTCATATTCTGAGTTTCTTTATAGTCAACGCGATTTCCTGATCAAGAGTGAGATTAGTTAGCCAAGAAGCAAGACGTTGGAAGGGGTACAAAAAAATATCTTAGCTGAATGATCTCAGAATTTTGCTGCTTTCATGATTGTATGTCGGACATGCAAACACTACTGCTTTTCACGAGGCTCAAACTGAAACTTGACATGAAAATGTGTAACAAGACCATACTCTTCTTTTTGTTTTTGTTTTTTGTTGTGTGACTAGACATTCTATTTTGGGGTACCGTGTTCTTGTTTGCAGGCTGGCCCCATTTGAAGCTAATGGAGAAAGCAAATGGAGTTTGGCTACTTCCCATGGCATGGATCAAAGGGGAGAGGCCAGGACTGGTGGGGGTGCTACAATCGAGAAGCTTGAAGAGAACTGGAGTAAATAAACTGACCACTGCCACTCGAGTTCGCCAATAGCTTCTTTCCAAACAATGTATGTAATCATAGAGTTCGAATAAGAAAAAACCAGAAGTAACATACAAACAGCCTTGTAATTTTCGACAATATGTGCAACATTTGCATTCCATGAGAACTCACATTTACGTCATAATTGGTCCAAATATAAGATAATATGATTAGTTGATGCCTAAATATGTGATTTTCGGCAAAATAAATGGATTTCAATAATTATAATTTTTCAAGCGCACCGCAAATTCGCGAGAATCACTGAAAATTCCCTAGTTAGGTGAATAGGCTAAAATTCATGCAAAGTCTTCAAACCCATCACGTGGTCAGTTGAAGCTAGCAATGAAGAGAAGGTTGATCATTCTTGGGAAATAACGCGGACCAATGAAAAATCGAAGTACTTATCCATTTGACCAAAAAGGGGCCAATCGAAATCTAGGTTGAGTGTTTTGACTCTCCAAATTGTGTTCCTAAGGCACAAAAATACAAATCCTTAGCTGCTAACTACTGGCAAGATCCAAAATGAATATATAAATTTGTAAAGAAACGGAAGGGGGTTGTATAGTATCTACGAACTCTCTGAACCTACCAATCGCACAGTATCTATACGTATCTAATGTCTATCTAAAAGCAGTACATGAGGTCTATGCCTTGGCAAAAGTTGTCATGTCCCTTTCAGCGCCATGTCCTAAGGTTTACGTGCATCAAATCACAGTGTAACCTATGAAAAACACTCATTAAATACAATGACAAATGTTCCTTTACCTCTTCCTCCTCTATTTGCTCCCTTGTTTTCTACCGCTATCAACTGCCGATGAAGCTCCGACCAAAAAATAAAGAAAAACTGCCGATGAAGTAGCCTTGCCGGATTTTTGGTAAAACATTCCATATGGATCAGCTTTAACCAAGGCAGTTGTAAGATCATTTATAGATGTTTAGCTGATTGCATTATTCATCATCTCATTAAGTTAAATGACAACCGGGTTTGGGGCTTTTAAAAAAAGAGTGGTTTAAATTCACCATTTGCTCAAGTGTGCCGTGCATTGCCGTGCATGCCATAAGCGTCGTGCATGTGTCATAAGTGTGACGTGCATGTGCCGTGTACATGCTATGCATATTCCAACACAAACATAAAAAAAAAAACGTGGATTTCAATTAAAAAAGCATCGCAACCCCAATTGACATAAGTACCGATAAGTCATGATTACTTTTTGTTTGTATAGATTGACTTCGAAGTTAGCAACTACCGCCACCGCCTCCGCCGCCGCCACAACCTCCTCCGCTGCCGCCACAACCTCCGCCGCCACCCCCACTTCCACCACAGCCACCATCCCCATTGCCACCATAGCCACCGCTGCCGCCGCCACAATTAGCCCTGCTAAAATCACCACTAGCCAAGTAAGAAACACCAGCTCCGGCAAGATTGCCCCCTCTGCCGCCACCACTACGACCCTTCTTTTCGCGAGGTTCCTGCTCGCTTTTGCCGCATGCGAATATGATCATGGAGATGAATGCTAGGGAAAATGCAACCACGCAAAGCCATGTCAACTCCAGTTGGCTTCCATGGCCATTAGTAGCATTAGCAAGAGGAAACACCTCTCTAGCCATTTTCTCTAGTCTCTCACCTCCCACACGCGCACAATGTGTGCTTTTATGTACACAAATCCCCTCCTCTGATCTTGTCATTAATTAAGTCCAGGACTCCCTTGCTAAAGATGGAGCACTGTAATGAAGTATATTTATGGAGATTAAAGATTTTCCTAAAATATTGTTAGAGATATTATTAGATATTTTGGATATGATTTGATATTTCGTTATTCTCTAAGATAGCTAATTTTATTTCCTATGCATATTATTCGTGTATAGATATCATCCTCTAATAACGTGTAAAGCTAAGCCAATTAAGTAAAGATATAACCTTCATTGATTCTCATTCCCTCTCTTTTGAAGATCCTAGAATATTTGTAGTGGGAAGTGCAATGCTTCCTTATATTGCCTATTGGTGAAGGATCTTCGAAATTGCTTCTAATCAAACTTGAAATTCTTTGCAATAGAAAAAGAAAATAAATTGCCAAGCGGTAACATTGAACTCGTCAGCGCATCCATATAGAAAGAGTCAAGCAAATGCCTACGTTGATGGTCATTCCACATTGATAAATTTCATACTTTTATTATGCTAAAAGCGAGCATATGACGGTGAGATACTATTTTTACATGTAATTGCTAACTTCAATTATGGAGCTTCATTGCTTAATATCGAATCTGGTAAATTACTGTACTAAAAGCGGCCTACATTGGTAAATTACTTATTTGATGCGGTTTGGTCATTATTGCTCTGAGCCATAATAAAAGACGCTAATGTTTTTAGTCATGACCTATTCACATCAATATCCATGCAAAATACCTATGTTTATACTTAAAATTGGTGATTGTAAATGCATGAACCATGCTTTATTGATCTTGCTGAATATTCTTCTGCAGAGGATTCATTTGCTTTAGTTCGTCATAAGACCCCAAAAAACAAAAATAATGTAAAGAAATGAAAGGGGTCGTGGCCGAGAGCTGTTTTTAATAGAGACACCAAGCTTTTGCTCGGAACTTTCATAAATCTTCAACAAATTTCTTCTAGTTAAGGTAATGAAGATGGAGAACGAGATGGGAATGTTGCTCATGGCAACTTCTTGCATTTGAGGTGAACTTAGCAAGCTCTTAGTCTAACTTTACGTGTCATTTTTTGACTTCAAGATTAAAATGTTGTCTCTTGAATTTATGTGTTAGGTTGTGAAAATTTGAGGTGAGAGTTGAACTCATAAGACATTTAAGAGCAATTAGAACACTGCCTTTGGTTGGTGGAAATTCTCGAGAGACACAAAGGAGAAAGAGGGGGGAAAAAACGGGAGAATGTCATTCTTCACCGAAGGGGAAATGACTTCCCGCCTATTTGCAAGCCATAATGTCAAACACTTATACCTCAAGTCACAAAATCTAAACTTTCATAAACATTCTCAACTGTTGGATTTTCTAATTCCCTTGGTTAAAATGACATTGCGCCAAAAATCTAAACATTGCAAGTTTCCAATTCTCAATTGAATTAGTCTTTGGGCGACTTCAAATATCAACGTCCGAGAAATATAAAACTATTGTCAATGGGGGACATCTGGATAATCAATGTCAGTGGTTGAAGACTAATCACTAAAGCTTCCTTATTTTGAGAAATTACACATCACGAGATTTGGCTGATACGAAACAATGCTCAAAAAGCACGTCATCTTTGTCCAGGAGTGAGAATCGAAGTGGCAATCAAACCAAAGATATAACTTATATAAGCTCAGCATCTTTACACAATGTATAGTGAGCTCAGCATCTTTACACAATGTATAGTGTGAAGACGGCGTGAAAAGCACATCAGGAAACCCCCAAGGTTGCCAACAAGTCAGTTGCACATGATAGGTCACATGATATCGACAAAGGAGAAGCGCTAATTTACAATGGAAGACACGAGCTTCACTAGGAATCGAAGATAAAAGAGACAAAGGGCTAATAAAAAAATCATTTCTCTATCCCTTTCTGTAGTGTTGACACCTATTTTTAATTTGCCCAAAATTAATTGCACAAAATTTAGGAATTAATTTTCTTTAATTCCTAAAACAAAAAAATATTTCTATTTAAATGCATTGCATATAGACATTAGGCATATGTGCATTAATAGGGCCTATTAGAGCATATTTTCTTAAATTTTAAACAAAAATTTAAAAAAAAAAAAAAAAAAATTTTTCGGGCCGGGTAGTGGGCCGACCATTACTGCCCTTTTCTTTTCCTTTTCTTCCCCCTCCTGGGCCCCGGCCCATTCTTTTTTTTTTTCTTTTCTTTTCTTTCTTTTCTTCCCTTACATGGTGGGCCTGGGCCCGACCCTTTCTTCTTCTTCTTCCCCTCGTGGTCGCTCTCTCGCCCTGTTCTCCTGTTCGCGGCGTCACGCCGGCCGCGCAGCGGCAGCGTGGCTCCTCGCCGTCGCTATCCGCGGAAGGAAGGCGAGAAGAGCACGCCCGACAGGGCGGCATTAATTGCGTCCCGTCCTCCCCGTTGTCCGGCTTCCCTTATCTCCTCCTCTCGGCTCCTGTTTATGCGCTGCTTCTGCGCCTCAGGCCGATCCCACCTCTGCTGCCAGGCCTAAATGGCCGCGAAAGTCGCGCGCTGAGTAGGCCGGTGCGGCATCGTCATTACGTGCAACGTACGGAGCGAGAGGCACCGTCGTCCGGCTATAAATAGCCAAAGGGAGAGAGAGCCCGTCGGCGAAATTGAGAGAGAAGCAGAGAGAGAAAAATTGAGAGAGAAAGAGAGAAAATTGAGAGAGAAAGAAGAAGGAAAGTCGGTTTTACGGAGTTCCCGGCCGCGTCGCCGTCGCCCGATCAACCGGAAAGCCCCCCAGGCAGCGCGTGACAGCGAAGCTCGGTCGGCCCGAACCGCCTGTTTTGCTCTTTTTTACTGCGCTCGGTATGGCGGGACTCGCGCCGGCCGTTTCGCGTAGAATCCGCCCATACCGTCATCCCCCGTCCGTGTGTCTCACCCAGAAGGTAGGTTGGTCCTTTGAATCTCCAGGTTCGCGGAACAGTCGAGATTGTTGTTTTAGGCTTACACCATACATTCGACAAAGTCCTCAATGAAACCGGTTTTTTGTTTTGGTCGCCGGCGTGGCAGCAGTGATCAGACAGTGACCGGTGGGTGGAGAGGCTTGGTTTTACTCCCGGGAGGCCGATTTGGGGCGGCGCCGTGCAGGTCGGCCGGTGAGAGCCGTTTGGCCGACGGGAGGTGCTCCCCACCAGGTTCGGCTGACCAGTTCGATTGACCCGGCCCGGTCAACGCCCCGGGTCGGATCCGTTGAGCCAGTCGGTCAGTAGGCCCGGTTCGGCCGTCAGAGCCGGGTCGCAGCAACAGTCGGATCATTGACCGGAGTCGGTCAGTAGGCCGGTTCGGCCGATCCGACCCGGGTCAACAGCCGGGTCGAATCCGTTGACGGGTCGGTTCGGCCGATCTGGATCCTTTTTTTTATTTATTTATTTATTTTTATTTTATTTTATTTTACTGCTTTTAAAAAAAAAAAATTTAAAAAAATTTCAAAATTTTTTTTTTCTTTTCTTTCTTTTTCTTTCTTCTTTTTTATTTGTTTTTTTTATTAAAAAAAATATTTCGTATTTTATTTTATTTTTTTTATTTTATTAAAAAAAAAAATTTATTTTATGTGATATATTGTTGTTGTTTTAATCTAATGTGATATTATTTTGTAAGTTTTTGTCTTATTTAAATTAGACAAGCCGAGGTTGCGCGGTAGTATTTGCATGTTAGTTTTTATTACGTTGTATTGTTATGCATGTTTTTAATACAATTGCATGAATGTTGTGTTTTTGAATGTCATCGACTTAGTTAGGGTTAGAACCTTAAGGTTTGCATGAATTCTTTGTGTTCTGACTAGCGATCATTCCCGATTATGCACTCGCTTGATCACCTCACATATTAGGAGAAAGGTCCTAAAATCAATCCAAATTGCACGACAAATGTTTTCATAAATGAAGCAGGGGTAAAAGGTACCGAAAGGGCATTAGTTATCCAACTAGTGTAACCAAGTCCCGAACTCATTTAATCTACGGTTCGTAGGAATAGGGTGATTCTCCCATCACCCTATTTGGGTTTCTAATCGACCCACCCCAAATCGATTAGTGGCGACTCCTTGATATAAACCACTTGCATGTTAAACACTTAAACCCTAAGTCGCGATATGGTATGGGCTTGGGAGAGCCCGAGTTAAGTCCCGAACCTAGACTTAGCACGTACCCGGGCGAGCCCCCTTTCTCTTTGCATGTCGTTTAAAAAGGGCTCGGGAGTTCGGTCGCGACAATGGCGACTCATTTGGGGACTTGTTTTTTTAAAGTGGACTTAGGCCAAAAATTTTATCTGTTCAAAATGATTTTTGTTTGGCGGCAAGGACTCCGGTATGAACGACATTAAGGAGTTATTTGTTCTTGCGGGTTCGAATTGATTGTTTATAATTTGTTGTGCATGCTTTAATGATTTAGCACTACACCGTTGCACACACAACCACGGCGGACTGGGCCGCGATAGGGCATCCTAGGATGGTGTTAAGAAAGATACGACCTCGAACTTGAGTCCGCGATGTAGAGGTTGCCTTTCTTTTCCCGAATTTATTTCTAAAAAATCGTAAAGAAGTATCTTAGCGCTATTCGCGTGACTATAAGATATTCCTTTCGGTCGGCCGAGGATTAAAAGGACTTGACACCAACGCGAGGCTGCGACGGTCGGGCACCCTTTTAACTTCATTTCTTTGGGCCGATCTAGATAGAAATCGAACCTCACTCCTCATGTGTATGTCATTGTGATTGCCATGGTTCAAGGAAAGGTATATATTCGTCCCTTTTCATTTTATTATCCAGCGTACTTATTCATTTGATTCGTTTTTTAGGCCACCGTTGATTGCATTTTATACACGATGGGAAGAGTGATGTCCAATTTGTCCCCACTCCTAAAAAGAGCTTACGGCATGGTGGGGACCGGCTCGATCAAAATGGCCAACGGTATGTTAAAGCAAGAATTGGTCG